TTTCAATCGCAGTAGTCTTAGATGGTTGATCATGTTTTCCCTTCTGCTGCCTTTAAAGCTAGCGGTGGGCATTGGGGAGACTCTCCCTCCTGCCGACGCACAGTGATGGGTCTGGTGCCTCAGTTTGGATTTGACGGAACGTGACATCTCACAGTTTTGTGCACGAGCGGCTTGCGACTGACTCGCGCTGCAGCTGTCAGGGCCATGGAATGGTACTCCAAAGTATGATTTGCACCGAGTTGCCGAAGCTTGCTATCAGGCCCAATGACACTTGTTGTTTTGGCAGACAGGCGGTCTTTCATTTTTCACAAGTAGAGCGAACAAAACGCAGCACATCCCCGTGTTTTGAGACAGTTTTTTTTGTGCAATACAACTGTTTGTCGCAGGGCGACTTGGATGTCCTCGATATGCTCCTTTTCAGTGGGGACGCGGAAAACAAGTTCCCAGGTGACATCAACATGTGCCTAAGCTGATTATTCGCTCAACTCTGCATGCCAGAGTTGTAAAAGGATGGCTTGCGGAGGTGTAGAGTTGCAACCATCCATTCACACAAACTCAGACTTACATGCTTCTTTAATGTCTTGTATTTGAACCGGCAAGGTGGCAAGGCAATTTAGTCGTATTTATTCATGTAGTACTCTTGGAACAATTCCATTGGTCGAAGGTGTCAGAGCGGGCCTCATCAATAATTCATGTCCATCAACAACCTGCCATTGTGTTTGGGTGATGCAGTATCTTAGAATACTTGACAGAGCTCGACCTTGTTCAGTGCTCACTTTGTAGAAAAGCCAAGGCATGTCCAGTTCCAAGGAAGAACGGCAGGGTGCCTCAATGTCCAGTCACTCGGGCTGGGCTCTCAAATCTGACCGGAAGGTTCTACACGGATGTTGGTTGGATGTTGGTCCAACACCGTTCTCGATGCAAGAGATCCCAAAGCTTTGTTTTTTTTTCACGCTGGCATCCGTCAGTTCCGTCTGAATCCAAAGGCCCGATGGAGAATCCAAAGGCCCGATGGAGAATCCAAAAGCATGGATTGGCAAAGCAACTGCGCGTATGTGAGGTCATGACTCCTTTGATGCTGGCTTGCCAGTGCGACGGCTGAGCATCAGAGGGGGGGTGAGCGGGTGAGACGAGTGGAGAAGCTGAGACGACAGGGTAACGTGACCCTCCGTGCGGATGGCATCAGCTGTTACCGTGGCATGGCATCAGCTGTTTGGTCTTCGGATGTCATTCCAAGGTGATCCAGGGCCATGTCATGCCACTTCCAGATGATTGCAGGGAGTGTAGACCAGCCCACATACATACCCGGATCCTCGGACGCGGCGGATGCTGGGGTGACTGAGGACCGGGCAGATCGAATGTGTTCAGCTGATGATCAGCGCCAAGGCTGATCCCCACATGAAGTTTCGTCCTCAGTTCTTTTCTCCAAAATAGCCTGTGGATGATGTCGATGCCATCGTATGCCATGTGGACAAAGAGACTCTCTAAAAAGGACTGCATGTGGATGCATGTGGGACTGAAACTTTTGATCGGATTTGCTTGGACGACCTCGCCACCTGCTTTGCACCTTCGTTGCACTCCTCCTCTCTTTCTTCATTCACTCCGGCCTGCGACTCAGGTGCCGTGTTCCATTCGGCAAGGCTGGGCACAAGGGGAGGGAGCCAGAGAGCTCTTTTTGGGCGAGTTGAGTTGGTTTTGTCAGAGTTTTTTGCATCAAACAGACTCAACTCCAGTGAAAAGACAGTATTCCCGGTTTCATCATATTTATATATCATATTTTCACATATTTTAATCATGTGTTTTCAAAAGACTTCTCATGTTTTCATCAAAGACTACAAAGACCGATCCATTTTTGCTCAGAAAAACGCCCCCCCATGTGCCGTCGCTTAAGACGGGGCTATACATCACGATTGAAGCTGCCCAAAACGGCTTTTTCATCCTTTTTCTCCTCAGAGCGGCGAACCGGATCTTTTTCTTTTGGATTTACTCAGAGGACACGCTTGCCGACCGTTTCCTTCCTCGCTCCTGCTCGCGCGCAACTTGGGCACTGAGTCGAAATCGAGAAAGCCAGGAGTCTTCGGAGGGCGAGACAGCCAAGGAGTCTGACCGAAGTCGGCTGGAGAATTGGCGGTGGCGTTTTTGTTGGGCATTTTTTCAACTGGAGTGCTGTTTTGGCCGACTTTTTTTTGGGTTATGACGCAATGCTGTTTTTAGTGTAAGCTTTGTTGTTGGATTGAATGCGCCTCAAGTCTCTGTGCTCGTCCAACCCACTTGTTTCAATCGTTCCCCATTACATACTGAGCTCAGCTGCTTGATTTGGAGCACTGTCAATTTTCCACATCCTCCCAATCACAAGGACCTCACACAGATGGGTCGTCTACTCTGCATGTGAAAAGAGGCCTCCGGCGGCCTCCGGCGGCCTCCGGCTTTCATTGAGCAGTTGACCTCCTTCCCTTGGCAGTGGCTTCAGTGAGCTCCAGAGCGATTTGGACCGAGTTGTGCAGGACATTGCGCTGAAGCACGGCTGGGATGACATCGTTCAAGTTCTTGTGTCTTGGAACTGGTGAATGACTTCTGCGAAGCAGACTGTGCAAAGAGAGGGAAGAGTCCACAACTGAAATTGGCTAAAGCGACATGTGAAGAGTCCGGAGGTGCAGCTTCATTTTTTCGTTCAATGCTTGCATGTCGCCATGTCTTTGGGATTGGCCCAGAAATCCTTGAGCCCTGCTGCACTAATCCAAGGACAAAGCCCTAAAAGACATCCCTCCGGCCAAGTACGTGCATGGCCAAGTACGGGACGGGCTTCCGAGTACGAAGTGACTGTGGTTGGTGCTGTGAAGCTGCGCAGCCGGCCCAAAGCAGCTTCGCTGCGGCTTGGACTGGGGCTTCGCCCGAAACGTCGTTCGTTGTGAGGTGCGCTATGGAAAGGAGAACAACAGCAGGCCGCCCCCCGTTGCTGTTCTGAAGCTTCCAGTCGACTCTTCGGAAGAACCCTTGAACAAACTTCGCTTGAGGTACACGGTTTACCAAAGCGGCGAAACTGGCAGTGGAAAGGCGGGGAGCAAGGCTGTTAGTTTTCGTTGCTTTGGTGGAGCGCCACGAAATCGGAACAGATGAGATGAGGTGATGGTGATTTGGAGTTGTTCTGAGGTTTGTGGACATCCAAGCCTTCATCATCTTCCCACCCTCGTTTTTCGGATTGATTTGCCGGATGGAAGCATCGCTTGTGCTATATAGCTGGTGCTTGCATCTTCCATCCTCCACGGTGACCAGTCAGGTAGTTTTCAGGGAGGTTCAAACCAGTGCTCCGCAGGACCCATTTGAGGAGATCAAGAAGCTCACCAAAGGAAAGATGCCAAGTGCTTTGCCTGCATCCATGGAGGCGCTCTGAGAAAGGATGGTCGATGGTCCTATAAGTTTAGACAATCAAAATACTCGCCTCACAAAAGTCTAGGCTTTGAAATACAGCGTCTCACATTTTTTCTATTCGTTTTTATGTCATTTTGTATCTTTGTTCTCCACCCCTGACGGTGGCAATGTATGCTGCCAGAGAACGAAGGACTTTGATGTTCAGGCTCCCAATCATTCACATCAATCTCTCCGTGTAGATGACAGTTCTTTTGCGGTCAATCTGTGCCTTTGTCTCTGGGGTCGTAAGGGTGTCATGTCTTGGGTCCGTGGCGCCACACGGGCCCACCGTTGTGCAGGCGATTGGTGGAGCACCGATGCCTACGGGCCCCACCAGCATTGGCCTACTCTTTCCAGGTTCGTTCCAGCCTGCTGTTGCGTTCCACTGGAACACACGGAACCCGCCAATCAGTGAAGCAAAGGCATCGTTTGAGGCGGTTTGAGGCCACGCCATTTCCCCCAACCTGGGGTGGGCGAGTATCTACTCGCCCCGTTGACAGCTTGCCAGTTTGCCGGAAGAGACCATTCTTTGGCCGCCGAGGCCATTGACAAAAAGTTCAGCCCATGGATGACCCTGATGACCCAATTGACACTCCTTGAAAGCATCATCATCCGAAGATGTGGATGGGACAGATGGGACAATGACCCCCCCCATTGCTTCTGGAATGACGGGACCAACTCCGAAAGACCGCCACCGGAGCTCGTCCAGGTCAAGGCTCTCAATACGTGAAGATGATGGACTCGCTACAGGCCCCAGGGTGTTTGGGACGCAGTCGAGGTCCAGGTGATGCGGCAGTGAAAGGCAATCATTGAACACCTCGTTGGTATACATGAATCCAAAGGATTGCAAGGGTGCAGGACATGCAAAAGCTTTCCGAAATTGGACATGTCCTTCTTCTTTTCATCAGCTTTCCTCTTTTCTTGCCTTTTGATTAGGGTCTCCTGTGCCAAAGAGAGAATCTGTCAAAGGAAGGCCAACTCGTGGAGAACTCCAATGACTAACGCAGCATCAGCAGCACCATTTTGCTGTTTTAAGAGTGTCCACTTGTGTGGTTTCTTGCAAAACCGGGACTAGGGACGCTTGAGAAACCCGGGACACACTGGAAGGAACCACTACGCCCCGACACTTCAGCATCATACATGTCTTTAGTTTGCTTTTTGTTGACATGTGACGTGGGGAAGCTGAGATCGGATTTGGTACAGAGAACAGAAAGAGAGTTCAACCTCGTGACCTTTCTGCCTTCCCCTGCAATTGGTCTAGGGGCTATAGGAGCTCCTGCAATTGGTCTCCTGAGCCCCCCCCTTTGCCACAAGCACTTCCAAGTGAGATATGAGATAAGGCGAGCTCCAGAGGTACTTTGGCTCATTCCGCTCCAGGGATTTTTGATGGACACTGAAGTCTTTGGGATGATTCATAGAAAAGACCATTTTGAAGATCTACCTCAAGGCGCAAGTAAACATAGTCAACAATGATCACCGTTGCAACCGTGGGTTCCCCTGGAAGGACAACGTGAAGGTAAAGGAGATGATCGCAACAGCGCGTGCTGTTCTGGGCTATGACATTCTAGAGGCGGGAATCTGCCACAAAGCTGGACAAAGCACGGAGGGTGAAGTCTCTCCTATTTGGTAGAACTTGGTGGAACTTACGGTGAGGAATGCTGGGAGCAGTGCTTCTTGGTGGAACCAATCCTAGAAAATCCTATTTGGTAGAACTTGGTGCTTCTTCTCAAGAAAGGCTTTGCTAGTCCGCGGCTTCTCATCCAGAATTCTGATGAAGGAGGACAAGTATGGTCATCCCAACCTATGCTCAACTTATGCAGCTGTTGCCAATAAGGCAGTTACCCAAATCCGATGTCAAGCAATGGTGCCTGGCCCTCAAATCTCCAAGAAAATACTCCTTCGGCGACGGTCGAGATCGAAAGACGCCCATCTGATGCCCGTTTGTGCAGCCTTGTTCTTGCCTTCGTTGGTTCAAGGATTGCAGGACATGTAGCGAGTCTCAGTCCTGAGTCCCATGGAAGAAGGTGAGACCGCAGATCCGAAGGAAAAGGAAGAACGAAGAGGAAGTGTCTCCGATGCGGTTCAGAACACGGTCACCGAGTGGTTGGAGGCTCTTGTGGAGATCCAGGACAACCTCTTAAGACTACCCTTCCTGGCGGTTCTGCTTCCAACCGAGCATGACAAGAAGGCATGGGACATCTTCAAGGAACTCTCGAAACAGGGGGTTGGTATTGAGATCGCCGCTCACACCAGCTATTTGAACCGTCCCCGCACCCTTTGGGTACTGGATTGGGAGACCCTGGAAAGGGATGATGCCATCACACCGGCACACTACTTGAAGCCTGGTTTTGCTCGAACCGTTTTTTGATTGTTTTCCACTTCTTTTTTTGTTTCGAGAAGTGCATCTTTTCATTTTTGCTGGGGGGTGGATCGCTGAGAAGGGCCAGTTCTCCAATCCAGGAATCGTTTGGTGCACCTGATCAGTGAAGAGACTCAGTCCATTCGTCCCAACTACGGACCTTGGATGTGGCCGTTGCACGATGGCGATGTTTGTTCCTCCATTGCGCTGAGTGCCTCAGCCGGCGATCGCCCCAAAAATGAGGGCTATCCCTTTCAACAGGTGCAAGGGGGGAGACCACTAGCACCATTAAACAACATTTGATCGAACATGTGCTTCCAAGTACGCTCACTTATTTTTTTGTTCTGTTATGATTAAAACTTGCTACGTTCGTAGCTTCTTGTTACGTTCGTAGCGCAATGGCCTCCAACCTACTAGCACGATGGCGTCCGATCGCTCCAAAAAAACACTCTTTTTTTGAGGTGAGATGATGGATCCCAAGAGTCAGTGCTGGCGCAAAGTCGCTTGGGCCTTACGCTTGGTGCCCCCGGAGCACGGCAGCGTCCTGGAGCGGTGCTTGTTGGAGCACTATGGGCGGGAGACGGGGTACGTCTTCGCGTGGGCGAACCTCTTCACGCGGGGCATGTGGTGCTTGGCCTTGCCCATGTTGATCTATGGCGTGGTGAATGTGGGCCCGGCCAAAGCGGGAGTCGATGCTCGGTTGGTTGAAAGAGAGAGGAGACTGCAGGAAGCAGACACCACAAAACAACTTGTCTGGGAGGTAGATTCACTATCAACCAGGACCTTCCCAGTGACCTTTTCAGGATTGGTAAGTGACCTTTTACACTTTTACACCCCTATATAAGTGACCTCATTCTGGGATCTCGAAAGGGCACTGGGAAGGTCCTGGAAACGGCGGGAGATTTGGGACAATTCGGCCTTGACCTGCGAGATGTGGGATGAACCGTTTCCACTTATTTGACTCGATGTGGGATGTGGGTCAGAGTGTAATTGTTTCATTCTGTTTAAGGACTCTATTCCATGGTACAGCTTACAGCTGCTGACCATTGCCTGGGGCATTTGCTTGACCATCTTCGGTAGCTCTCGTCGTTCCGTCCTGCGCAGTGGTGCCGGCTTGCGCCGCCCGGTGAAGGCTGAACAGATGGCCTTGACACCGGAAGACGACGACAAGGACACAACTGCAAAGACCGTCCAAGGAACTACTCTGGAAGTTCAAGATCTCTCCCTTCCCCACCAGGCTGAAGTTCCGAGCAGGGCTCTTAATACATGGAGGTTCTAGGATGATGTGGTTTGTGACCAAGCGCTTTCTTTTTGGGGTCGGGGTGTCCCATGCCAGACTATGGGCTGTCAGACTGCCATGTCCGCAGGTGAATTCCGAATCCCTTCCAGTGGCTTCACGGCCCGAGGGTGCCGACAGCACGGGCGCCGCCGGTGTCGCCGCCGTCACCGGTGCGACGACGGCGGTGCTGCCCACGGCGTCCGCGAAGAAGAAGATCCGTGATGCGAAGCTGGTGCCCAAGCACATCATGGAAGTCAAGGTACAACATCACAAGATCGACAAGTCCCGACTACAGGAGCTGTTTGTGGAGAGTGGACCGGAGAGCAAGCAGAAGGAGGCAGAGAATCAGCCACTCGAGTTGGCCGGAGAAAGGGGCATTTTTGTGAAGATTTCGATCATCATCCACTGAAAACTCTGCAACTAGGTAACTAGGTATGACATATCACCTACGAGAAACCGGGCACCTATGTATAGGTTGTATAGCACCAAGGATTCACATCTCAAAGTGGCCTAAGACCGAAGACCTGGGATCCTCGAGATGGGTTCATTGATGTTCATTGGCCTCTTGGTCGTTGAAAAAGCCACTGAAACGAGTGGTGGCACTTTCAGCTCTCTTCCACAGCACGGCTTCGCGCGGCTTCGCGGGGCGCGGGGGGACCTCTTTCCGGGTGGGGATTCTTCGCTCTGCGCGACCGGAGAAGGCTTGACACGGGGACTTCTGGTGAGTCTGGGTGTTTTCACCGCCTTGTCGACACGCGAGGCCAAGGAGATGCCCGATTACCGCATCAATCCGGAGTATGTGCCCGAGGATGCCCCTTGGCGGCGCGTGACGTGGGCGACGTTGGTGACGGTCTGCAGCTTGACAGCTTTTTTGAGCCTGGCGGCGTTGGTCTTGAGCTTGTTGCTGCAGTTGAAGTCCTATCTGATTTTTGAGTGGGGTGAGTGTATCCGGCGTCAGTGTGACAATGCTGGGGAGAAATGGGGTTTCTCGGCCGTCCTTGTGGACATTGCCGTCGACATTCTGATGGCGCTGGTCTTTGTCGTTGGGCTTGGAGAGGCCTGCAAAGCTCTTTCTTTCCAGCTCGCCAGGCTTTGGAACTTCAAGAAGATGCGACGGCGCATTCATGTTCAGACTTTGATCAGTCTCTGCATCGAAGTCATGGCCAAGGTGGGGCTCTTCGCTCTCCTGGCCTTCAGTTTCCTTCCCTCCTGGTCGGAAGTCTCAGTCAATGGCTCCACCGAGTTGCCCGAGGTGGTCTGCAAAGGGAACATCGACTACGACCTCTGCCGCGCAGTGGGCAGCTGCGACGCCTCCGGGGATCCCTACTGCTGCTCCGGCACCTTGAGCTGCGCGCGACAGCTGTTGCCCTTCTCGGCGCGACGGAGCTTGTTCGAGAACTGGCTGGTGGGACCCTTCGTCGTCGCGCCCTTCGTGGATTTCATCCCGGCGGTTCTGGCGCCCTTGTTGACGGAACACCTGGCCGACCTGGCTGATGCGGGCGCGACCCGGCGCTGTGGCAAGTGCTGCTGCTTTTTTTGTGGCTGGCTGGCCCGATTCTTGGCCTTCATTTTTGTCCTAGATGGCGAAGTGACGGGCATTCGCTATGTTTGCCTTGGGAGCACCTTTGGGCGTCCTACTCCCTTCCACACCGATGCCCAAGATGATGAAGGTCAGGGTGAGGCCGTGGATTACTTGGCTGGCGCACTCGACCAAGCGGTTCTGCGACCCTTTGACGCGATGGAGGAGCTGAAAGAGTTGAAGTTGAACTTCTTCTTCGTGCTGCCCGTTTCAGCGAAAACACTTCTACTACTCACGTGGACTTCGTTGTCCTAAAGGAACTCCTCAGAAACCCCGAAAAGTGGAATCGATAGGGATTTCTCATGTCTTTCTGTTTCTTTGAAGGGTCCGATCAAGCAGGGTTACTGGGGCCGATCGTTCCTCTTGGGAAGAAGACGAGTCTTTTGCTCCTGCAACGCAAGGCTTCTCTTCGCACCCTTGAAGCCTATCCTGGTGCTCCCCACGTTGCTGGCGCGCCTGATCGAGGTCCGAGCCAAGTTGCAGAAGCTCTTCATGGTGAAGCGCCGCAACATCCCGCGCGACGCGCGGCTGGTGCATAGACCCCAGGAGTTCTTTGCGGTCTTTGCAGTGACCAGCAGCTGCTTTTGGCACATCGGACTAGCGACCACGGCTTCTCAGACAAAGGTCTCAGTCGTCTTTGGTCTTTGGGTTTTCAGAGAGAGAATTCTTCTTTGACCTGGGAGAATGTTTAGGCATTTTTGGCAATTTATATCAAGGATTTGGATATATATATATATATTATATAATGTATATGTATGCATATATATATATATATAGATTTTTGGGCGAAAAATAATGCACAGAGCAAGTAAGGCTTATAATGATAGACTTTACGAATGGCACACTGGTAGCCTGGCAGCAGTCTGGCTTGGCGGTGGAGTTGTTGCCGCGGTACTTGTTTTCGTTCTCTATCGACTGACTGACAAAGGGGACTGAAATTTGACACTGGCAAAGTTCCAGAGATGCTTTCAGGCTTGATGCAGATGAGAACCAGGTGGCAGGGTAGAGCACACGCGACCTAACCTTTTCTATTATCCTTTTATACCTGCTACCTTTAGTCCTTTTGTTGTGGACTGGTCTACCCTGGAATTCCCGTGGTCATCAGGCAGAGCTACCTTGTTTCGCAAACCGATGGTATCACAGTAGTTCTGCGCGTCCGGAGCCAATTGCTGCTCTTCTGCAAAATGCAGATCGGAAGGACGCGCACATGGGAACTCAGAGTGACGCAAATCCTGCGCCGAAATGAGAAGGGATAGCTGTGGGTCAAGGACGGAGCCTCAACCCTTAGACCTCCGGTTCCATGACCCAGACGCCAAACGCCAGACCCCTAGACGTTGCATGAAATGGAACTTGACCAACCTGTGAGACGGTCTACCGTCTTCCATCCCCGCCTAGCTGCTAGATGGGTTCAAGGTCATGGGGGTGGTCCCACAGACCTAGCCACCGAGCTTCGCTAGCCCAGCTTGCGACCTGCAGGTTTGCTTGACTGGCCCAGAGGACAAGCTCGAAGAGACCAGCGTGAGGCTCCAAGTCTTCACCGCCGTTGTCCGTGAGACCGACGGAGAATTGGTCGTGGTATCCTCGTGGATGCGATTCGTCCAGGTTTGTAGACCATCCGAAGTCATGAGGATTTCAGGGAGTGTCCACCACTTCTCTTTTGCTTCTCTTCTCTTTGCATGTCTACAGGTCTTTGGACTTCTATGAGCCGGCCCTTCTTCCCCACCAAACATTCCTTGACCCTGACCGTGACCCAGTCGATGACCTACCGACAGTCCCCGACAGAGCCAAGCGCCCTGAGGTCTGTCAACCTGCGATGTTTCTCGCTGGGATGGCAGGCAGGATGTCTGCTGCCATTGGGGATCGGTGTCCCAAATCAGGGCTACAAGATGGTGCGGTGAGAAAGCTGAGAAGCTCAAACTCCAAGCCCATGGGGATCACCATGGAGTAAGGGCATTCGAAATCGACTTTCAAACACATTTCTATGTGTCCAACCTGTTGAACCATTTTCATCCCAAGACGCGCCCCCCGTGACTGGGACCCGATCCGAGACTGTCGGAGGCCTCGAAAAGCTCCGCGACTCCCGCCCGGAAGCGGTGGAACGACCTGGGGCCGTGGCAGGCCGGAAAAAGATACTGATACTGCCAGCTACTTGTAGCTTGCTTGCTGTTTGCCTGTTTGTCTGCCTGTTTGTCTGCCTGCCTGGCTGGCTGGCTGGTTGGCTGGCTGTCTGTCTGTTTATTTGTTTGCCTTTCTTTGCCTTGCTTGCTTGAGTCATGGACGCTTCCTCTTTGTTTACTGAACGCATGCGATCACTTGCGATCGGTCTGCCAAAATGAGCCATTGGGCGGGAGGGTCCCTCCGCGGGCCACGCCGCGAACCCCCAAAAAAAGCTTCAAACTTTTCAGAGAAAGGCAGCGCACGCCACGATCTTTGAGATTGTCCGTTGCCACCCTAGATGGACCAAACCTGGTGTATTTCGGCCGTTGGCAGGGCTTTCGTTGGGGGGAGTACACTGCTCTTTGCGCAGCTGGAGTCTTCACCTTTGAGCAAGGCTTGACTCGGCCTGGCGAACAGTGTTCGTGGAAGAGGGGTTGTAGGATGAAGGTCCTGCCAGGACCTTCCTGGCCCTCTTGGAGTGCCCATCCGACCAAACAGGCCTTTGGATGACCAAACAACCATTGGATTCCAGAGGTGGATAGAGTATGATAGAGTTGATTTTTGAACACACACACACACACACTTTGTTGGCTTAGCCACCAGGGATGCCGGATGTAAGTACTCACCAGTGTGGTGGGATTTTGATCCTCTAAGTGGTCCTCCCTCTAAGTGGTCCTCGACTTGTCCTTCCACGGAGCCTTCGAGCCAGACTGGGCTTTTGATCTTTGACCGTACCCTAGAAGTTGATAGACTATGTATATATATATATATATATGATAGAGGGACTTTTAGCCCTTTAGGTACAATTTCGACCCACAAGGTCCCCTGCATACATATATATATATATAAATAAATATATATATATATATATATATTTGCTCAGTGAAATAAAGGACGTTTCCTTTGAGGTACTCCAAATTACAAGCACCTTCTTTTTATGGTTGGGTTCACTCCGCAGAGTGTCGAGATCCACACGTTCGTTTTCGTTCGCTGGATTCGTGGGGGAGGAGGTCCACCGGTTTCGTTCGTTTTCTTCCTTCCAACTGTGAAGTGTAGGAGGTCCATAGTCCATCGCCATCGCTTTGGCCGGCTGTGTTCGTTTGCTTTCGCCCGGGGATCGACACGGGTTTGGCTGATTGGTGCGTGACGATGCCAGAGCAGCACGGAACAGATGCCAGAGCAGAAGCCGCTGTTGTGGTACCAAACCACAGATTCTTCGACCTAAGAGTGTGGCCTCGGGCCTCGGGCCTGAATGTGTGGCCTCGTGAGAGTGTGCGCCAAACAAGCAAGTGAGAAAGGAGAACAACACGCACGCTCCCACCAGCAACACCCTGTGAGGGTAGTTTTGTAGAAAGCATCCTTGACCAGGTGTTTGCCCTGCACTCACCCTCCTTTTTCCGTGCTGGTGCCGACCAGCATCGGGATCGACTGGCCCGACCCGTCGGCGTCCGGACCCGCGTCCGTGCCGCGAGGCATGGAACTGGTGAAGATCCGAGGTGCTGCCATGGCTGAGGCCGCCCAGAGCCGACCCCAGGCACGACCTGCAGTGAACGCAGCGAACCGACTGGGAGAACGGGTGCCTTCGTGCGAAGCTGGCTCCGGTACCACGCGGTTAGTGGTTTTTGAAATACGAACGAGCTTTGGTGAGAGTGGTTCCACCATTGTGTTCGTTTCCTTGCTTTCTTTCTTGCTGTTTTGTAACGCTTTGGGACCTTTGTGCAAGCCTGATACCTCGTTTCCAAAATCACTTGCAGCTTTTCTCTTCATTCTCGTTTGCCTTGTGCTTTGAGTTCGGTTTGGTCAGTTTGGTCAAGAAGTTATGACGAGCACCCATGGATCAGCAGCAGAAGCTTTTCGTGGTCGGCACCGTGCCGAGGCGATGCTTTCCGTTGCAGGACTGGAGCAGCAGCTCGTCATCGGGACAGACATGGGTCTTTACCGGACGGCCATCGGAGGTTCGATGGCAGGTCTGGGCCTCCAAGCGAACGGTGGTTGGCACATCGACCCCCATTTCTTTGGGTGCCAGTGTGCCATCGAACCTCTGAAACCACTATATTTGGGTGGTGATAGATAGTGACTTGCTCGAAACATGTTCGCCCCAGACATCCTGCAGGTTGATGATAGTGTACCATAGGGTACCCTATTTTGGTGTTTATGTTTTTTTGGGATTTGATGTGTGCTAATTTTTGATACGATGCTGGCACGCTTTGACGGTCCAAAGTGTTCTTGAAATGTTCGACAGTCAATCTGCTTGAGGATGGTGTAGATAGCGCAAAGCATCCTCAGGTATGTTTGTGCAGAGTTATCCCCAAGGAAACATAATATATATATATATAGTTATATATATATATAACTCTTCAATCTAACATGACATCTTACGGTATGGATCTATGGCAACAGTTATACAAGTTATATATTTTTTGCACATTCTCATTCTCCCGCTGAAGCTTTCTTTCTCTCAGAAGGACTTGGGAGCAAACAACGAGCAAAAAAGGACCGGTATAGTAACTTGCTTTCTTTAAGTCTTTGTTGCTTGCTGAACACCGGACACCTGTTTTCCAAGGCAGAAACTGGAAGAAATCTGCCGAGAGCAGGCGAAGGGTGGAGAGGCCCGATCTGTGAGAAAGATCTTGGTCTTGGAGGATGCTACCGGAAGGGTTCGCTCCGACTCACTGACATGGAAGTGCACGACCTCCTTTTGGTAAAGGCAAAGTAGTCTTGAAGCGGAGTGTACGGGTTTTTGCCAGGACCTACAGTTGACACATCGTCATCACCCCAGTCATCCCTGTAATACACATAATACTCTTTTCAGATGCCTCATCGAGAAGCGGCCCTGCTTTGCCGCTGGACCTGCTTCTTTTCGGCCGTCACGTTTTTGGCGGGTGACCCCTCAACCAGGAGATGACATGAAAAACCAATGTTTTGGTGTTTCTTCCCATGAGGCACGTCTATATATAATGCAGATGGCACAATCCCAAGTTTAGGTTGTCTATAATGGACCTCCATCTGTCTAGGACATCTTGTGGCGCCAGTGCCATCGAACCTCTGAAACCACTGTAGGTTGATGCGAAGTTGCAAACCCTGTGGGAATGCAGCACTGGGAACGGCGCACCGCAGGTTTGCCAGATTGCCAACATCCTGTTTCCCAAAGGATTCTCCTGCGTACAGAGCTCAGTCAAGTGAAGATTGTGGGGGGCTGGAAGAAGGTGGATCAGAATAGCTTGGTTAAATCTAGGGAGCGCCGACTGGATTTGATCCAACGACCCCTTCCGCATGGGAACTTTGCAACTCACGGCTTTCCCAGCATGGGCTGTTCATCATGTCCGAAGCCAGAGTTTCTCATGTCGAAGATGCTGACGACTTCGCACTTGCTCAAGCTCACAGAGTGGCTTCATACTTGACCCGACAAACCATGAAAGGTTGACGTCCCGAACATAGAGGAATTGGTCCATTCGACTATATTCGACTTACGGGGTCAACCAGGGTTACGGGGTGATATGACCCACAGCCATAGCACTCACTGACAGCAGCCGAATGGCTGGCTGCGGCTGGCCGTGTAACGAACAGATCTGCGAACACATTTGTCGAGTTGAGCAAAAAAGCAAGTACAAGTCATGGCAGACTCGATTGAAACCGATAAAGCTTAGCAGGCGCACATGTAACTCGCCAATACCCATTGGATATGCTATGCAGAAGAAGAAGCATGAAACTGAGAAAGGGAGCAGCTCAGCTTGTATGTGACAGCTTGCTTGACAGCCAGCTCCACCACACTTCCAAGCAGTTCGAATCTTGTTCATGGCAAGCTTAGTCGCTTCACCCGGTCCATGGGAGCCTTTACTTTTGGTCAAGCTCTCAGTGAGAGGATTCCAGCGGGTGGCTGTAAGTGAGAATCAGGAGAGCAGACTTTGGCAGATTTACTGTTGACCTCACAAACCCAGCAATTTATTTTTCCGATGATACCGAGGTGATACGGTGATACTTGCTTTTGTGCCATTTGCTTGCACGGGATAGTATGCAGTTGAGTCATTTTTTCTTCCCTCTCACTCAGCAATCAGCTGTGAACTCTCTACAGTGTCACTTGAGACACCATCAGGCCAGACTGGAAATCGATGGCTCTCCGAGGCAGGGGGGCCAGGGCCTGGCAGGGGAGGAGCTGAGCTGGCAGAACTGGTCCAGAGTGGCTGGACCGTTCTTTTGAGAAAGAGCTACACGGCTCAGCGCATCGGTAAGGGTTATCCAATTGCTTGGGCTTTGCCACGCTGGCGCGTGAAACCGGGGGTTTCTCTGCCGGTTTCTAGTCCTGGACAGTCCATACCTCTCCTGTCCAAAAACCGTGGTGCCAGACTCCACACACCAAACTCAAGAGGTGGCGTACGTCATGCGTCCGAAAGGCCATGGTTCGGGTCGGCTTTTCGCTGGTTCAGAATGGAAAGAGGTCCTCCCGCGCTGCAGTCCTTGACCGGGTCGCCAGAGATGGACAGTCCATCATCGACCTGGTCGGCGCGACCCAATGGTGGCCGGCCAAGTGGCCGGTTGGCCGGTTTTTGATTGGCACGCCTTACACCTTGGAAAACGACGAAGGACATCGTAGGACATCTAAGGACACCATCAGTGGAAATCCACGTGTCCAGGTGGTGCCCAGGTGGTGTCTAGCTTCACATCCATGATGAGTTCTGGGAGTGTTTTCATCTCCACTTTTGTCCACTTTGGGTGACATCTCTAGCTTCACTCCATGGTGGGTCCCTTCAGACCACTCGTCCCAGAAACCACTCGTTCCTCCCGTTCCACACGTTCAGCGGCGACCTCGCATGGTTTTTCCCGGGAAGGTCGGGTCCATTCAGCACGTCAACCCACCTCTTCCTACCCACCGGAACACCCCATGTCCTACGCCCGACCCTCGAGGGTCCCGAAGGTCCGAGATCCTACGCGTTGACGTTCATGGCGAACCCCGCACCGCGTTTTTTTTCTCGGAACGAACCACGTGGCGCGAGATCGGAGCGGGATCGGAGCGGAGGGACACTCGCCTCCCAAGAGAGCACCGCCGAGAGTCCGCCGGGAGTCAGCGAACATCTATCGAGAAAGGACGGTGCGCGACGTGAAGTGCGAAAGCCAAATTGACCACAAGAACCCACAGCAACCACCTAGCCCCTCCCAGTCCAACGGTCCTCTGTCCACGATGGTCACAGTGGTTGAAACGAAGTCAGAAAGAGCGTCAGATGGTTGAGTGAAAAGGTCCAAGGCAGAGTCCCAAACCCACGGATCGATCGCGCAAAACAATCTTCAACACAGGGTGGTCCTCGAGGAAAAGTACCAGCTTAAACGCAACAAGAGAACGTGACACAACGAAAGACGAAGTTCGGTAGTATGCTGCGTGTGTGCGGCTGTGTGTGAAACAGCTGCGCGCGAGGTGCGCGCACGGAGAATCGGTGTGATGGACGCGACGGATCCGGGTTTGGGGGACGCGTGGCCGGGGAGTTTTCTGACACTGCGCGAAGAGAAAGAAGCAGGAGCACCCAAAGGGTGGTGTATAGAACCCCCCTGACCAGGTATTTTCCATCCAACAATTATCCTTTCGGTGGTGTAGGACCCCGTTACGGGAGCTTGCATGGGCTTGTTTCGAATTGAATGCTAGGTGCCAAGCTGTGAGTCGAGAGACCTTGTGCCAGAACGACAGTAGAATACTGGCCGTTTTCGGAATTTGCACATGGCTTCGTGTGGGAACCAATTCCAAAATCAGGTCCGTTCTCTCACAGGGTGTCTCAAGGGCGGGTGTCCCCCGAGTCAGAAATCTGGTCAACGATCCCATTCGTGACTGGAAGTTGCCGGTTCCCATGGTCAAGTGACTCCTTGCCACCTGGGGGAGAATTCTGGGGGCTAGTTGTCAGCCAGTGCTGCGATCCCAACACAGTCAAAGACCGACCAAGTGACACAGCACTGAAACATATATGTTCAATGAACATAGCCGTGCCTGAACGCGCTCATAATACCGTGGGCCCTTTAACGACCTGCGGGTGCCCACTCTGGAAGAGTGAGTCTGCCTGAGAAGGTGGAAGATGGAAACCAAACGAATCCACGCGTTCGCGCAGTCGAATCCACACGGTGGAAAGCGGCCGGGTTTTGGGTCCTGTTGGTCTGCTGTGCGTGCGCTGCGCTCTCAGCTTTTGTGCTTTAGCAGCCTGTCACGTTTCTCATTGCACCACGCCCCAGTGTTTAACTGCACGGGCGTGGAACAAAAAGCAAGGACCAGGAATTAGTTGACGAAGACTATATAAGTAGAAAAGTCGACCCCCCGCAAAAAAAATTGGAGACCATGTTTATCTATCTGAAGCCACTACACATAGAGCACCACTGTACGGCTGAGAATCAACCTGACCCAAATTCATCACTTCTGGTCCCTGACAATTGGCCCGGTCCACAGGTTCCGCCCCGCGCCACAGACGCCACGCGCGTCCCACCGGACCTCCGCACGCTGGACCGGCGTGGCGTGGAGCCTGGCCGCCGCGTGCGCCGGGCGATGTGCCGGGCACCGCGCCGTGGTCCGAAGAAGTGGCGCGGTGGAGGTGGGACGAGGGCCGGAGAAGTGGCACGGCTGGTGGGGGTGTCCAACACATTCCCGCCCCCAGGATGAATGAGTTTCCAATGGGCGCAAAAAACCTGAAGTTTGTCGTGTTCAAGATGTCGGAACTGCTTGGGACCCCTTCCGGGCCATGTCAATGTGCAGTGGTCCGCATTTTTTGGGAGGTGCCTGAGCAGACCCGGTCGACTGGGACCACAGCGGCCGAAGCGCGCCGTGCCGCGGCGCGGCGCAGCTTCCGGGAGGCGGCGGGAGTTGGGGATGCACTGGGGATGGTTTTGGTTGACACTTGAGGACTCAAGAGGTCTCCCACTAGGATGGTGCTGTTGGTGCTTATGCCAGTCTCAAGAATAACAGAGTTCAACACGGTGGGTAGTACATCACGTGTTTGTTCATAGTTTGTGAATTCCTCAAACATGGCGACTTTTGTCCCAGAATTTCCACTGACTCCTTTTGCCCCACTTGGTAGCCAAAATCAACTAGAAATGTTTTTATGGGTCATGGCCGGACTTGAAACGGTTGTTCTCTTTTCATCCCTTTTCATGTCACCAGGTGGCCACGAGCACACCAGTGGAGCGTGAGGCGTGGCCGTGGATAGATGGGATGAAGACGAGTTCTTTTTTCATACCACCATGAAATCTTGGCATCATGAAACCTTAACAACAAACACATGGTTTTTGGAAACCTCTGCAGTATTCGTTGCTAGCAGCTTACTTCGAATATATGTGTGGCACTGTCAAAGTTGAACATTTGGAGGGCATTCGTCTTTAGGTTCTGTGGCCAGGAGACCTGGCACCTTCCTGCCGATGCACCAAAGGCTCTCCAAGCCTTGCGAGGCACCTACTATTTGAACGGCGCCTTCGTTCGCAGCTTAGAACAATGAACTTCTTTGACGCCCACACACACACTTATGGATTTGCGTACTGACTTGACAGCGGTGCCACACGCCAGCCTAAGTAACCCAAATCCTGAAAAGTCCAGGAAAGTCCTAAAGAACCTGGGGGTCTGTAAGAGGAAGTGAGCCAAAAGCTCAAGATCGAAGACGGCAAGCGACTCGAACAGATTTAAAGGCAGTCCGCTCACATCTGCAGATGCATTAGCCCTTTACCGAAGGTTAAAAATTATGCAGGTACAAGTGGTTGATCAGACCACTCATCCACCGAAATGCCATAGCTTCGTTGGACTGGATAGGCAAATCGGCTCCAGTCCCCCTGCTGCACAACGAAAAACAAAAGCAAAAACAAAAACGAAAACAGTCCGAAAGGATCCCTGTGATTCCAAGGGTTACACACACACACGCCTCCCCGAGGGGAGGCGTAAAGCTAAGGTGAGGGCCAATGTGCACGTGTGCACGCACACGAGACAAAAGAATGAGGACATGACAGGCGGACGAGACGGGACAAAGGTGCGTGTGGTTGAAATGAAAGGGAACCAAGTGCACAGGGACACCCGATGAAGCCCACCTCATTGTAAAGACCTGGGCGACGTGAAACCTGTGTTTAACGGTATGTAGAATTGCACGTACGCACTAAGGCCGGGACCAATGTGCGCGCAAACGAAGAAAAGGATGAGATGACCAGACGTGAAGACAGGAGGACATGAAAGAAAAGAGGAAACAAAAGTGTGTGAAGGGGAAGGGATGAAAGGGGAACCAAATGGAGGGGACGAGAACCGATGAAGCCGAACCTCATTAAAACGACCTGGGAAAACCTGCCTCGTTTGAATGTACACACTGTATGTGCACCCAAGGTCTCGACAGGTTCCAATGAACCTTAAAATTGCTTTGACCGCTGTGGTCACCTTGTGCCCTGCCGAAATGGCTGGCTGCTTTGACCGCTGCGGTCGCGTAAAGGCATAAGCCAACTTGGAATTCCAAAAATGAGACAAAAATCATCGTACGTACGGCCTAGGCCACCTACGCTCGCTGCGAGCTGCTCTGTATCCGGGCAGTGATACGTTCGACAAACCCCCGTTCAACGGGTCCACGGGAGGCACTCTGCGGGCTCATCCCGGACTCTCACTGGGAGAGACACACTTATGGATATGCGTACTGACTTGACAGCGGTGCCACACGCCAGCCTAAGAAAACCCAAATCCTGAAAAGTCCAGGAAAGTCCTAAAGAACCTGGGGGCCTGTAAGAGGAAGTGAGGCCAAAAGCTCAAGATCGAAGACGGCGAGCGAGTCGAACAGGTTGACGGCGGTCCGCTCACATCTGCAGATGCATTAGCCCTTTACCGAAGGTTAAAAATTATGCAGGTACAAGTGGTTGATCAGACCACTCATCCACCGAAATGCCATAGCTTCGTTGGACTGGATAACAAAAGCAAAAACAAAAACGAAAACAATCCGAAAGGATCCCTGTGATTCCAAGGGTTACACACACACACACACCGAAAAGCCGTTTTTGTGGGCTTCGCATCGGCGATCCTTGTTGCTTTTGTCGGGAACGCCCACACATCATGGGCGCAGGATTTCCTGGGTTTTGTGCGTCTCACAACATGGGGGCCACTAATTAGGCTTGAGTCGAAGATCTGCGACTGTCGGGCAGTTTGACCAACCTGTAGAGAAGGAGTTCCCATCGCGGCGGGATCATTTCTTCCAGAAGTTCAGGCCAGTGCATCCCCGTTCTCGCCGTCCCCGTCCCCGTCCCTGTCCCCCCCCCAGTTCTTTCAGCCTCCGCCGCCCGGAACGCCACGAGCGCGGGATTCTCTCGCGCCTCTTGAAGCGCGCGTGTCGGCCGAGGCCTGGCGAGCTGCGACCAGGGGGGACGCTTAGTCCATCCCTTCGAGGCGCACGGCTTCCTCCGATCCTTTCAATTCCACGGCGATGGCCACCTGGAGGGAAGGGCTTGGACGGTGGGCGACACGGTGGGCGTGTCAACCCGCGCTGGGCGTGCGACACGGCGACGCGGTGCGAGATGGTGGTGCTGATGTTTGGCGGTGGATCCCGAGAGAGTGTTTCTTTTTGGTCTCAACCGATGGAACTGGATGGGAACAGGATGGACGACACTCGCATTTTTCAGGCGTTTTCTCATTGTCTTTGGAGTCCATGTTCTTTCTTTCTTTCGATGATCATGATGATGATGATGATGATGATGATGATGATGATGATGATGATGATGATGCACTTCTCCATGCGCACTGAACATGCCTTCGGTTTCGTCCAAAGCGTTGCTCAGGTTCAATTACCTATCGAGGACGTTTCGTCGAAACCACCTGCTCATCGATGGAGCGCGCTGCTGGACGCCCTCTCTTTAGAGGAGCCTTCAGACACTGTGGGGCGGGCTGGGGGTTTTAAGCCCACAGATGTCCAGTTTTAAGCCCACAGATCTTTTTGCTCCCAACAGTTCCCAAGCAATTTCCAAGTTGTTGGGACATGCTGAGGCTTGGCCGTTGAATGTCGATGTCTTTTAGTTCGTGGGCGGTTCGATTGGCCTGAAAGAAAGGGTGTGCTGAAAACACGGGTCCGGACTCAATGCTCTTCAGATGCAACAAGTATGGAAAATCTAGAAACCAAATGATTCGGTAGCTAAAGCAGCCAGGAGCTCAGGCAGGGGCACGTCTTTTTTCACAAATCCTTTCCCATAGGAGTCTTTTCGAACGTGGTGGATTTTGACCTTCCGCTCGGTCTACTGAATGTGCCTGGGCAGCGGACAGAGGGAGGCCAGAGCGAGTCGACCTCCTGCATCGCCAGGACCTTCCTTGTGACCTAAGTGACCTCAAACCAGGGGATCAAAAGATCACGGGAAAGATCCAGGTAGGAACGGGGGATCGCATGGTGCAGGATTTCTTCCCCCCACTTCAACCTGAATTGGCTAAGGCCTTCTCGCCCAGAACGCGGGAAACAGCGAGTCTTGGCAGGATTCACTCGCGAATTTGGTGACTTTTCAGGGCTGCCAGGCTGCCTCAAAATTTTAGGCCACGCTGAAATATCTTAGGTGCGAGCTAGATGAAACTTCATGGTTGCAGGAGGTTGCAAGCGCGTGCAGGGGTTTTCTCATTTTCACACAGACTCATTTTCCAAAACGCCAATTTCTTGGTCTAAGAATAATTAGCCGCGAAAAGAGGCGACTCGGGAATTTCCATGCACCACCCCGAAGAACGTGGGGGTTTGAGAAGACTTTGCAAGCCCTCAACCTGTCTCTCTCTCTCTCTCCATTAAGTTGGAGGCCATTGCTTCTAGCTTGGAGGCCATCGCTATATTCGGCTCCTCCCTCCCTCCCCTCCCTCCCTGACCCTCCCTGGCCCTCCCTGGCCCTCAACCTCTCTCCCTTCAAGGAATTTGACCTGCCGCCGTTGGCCTCCTCGCGCCCCTCGTGGAGTCGGGGGACCACCGTGCTCCGCAGTGCTGGTGGCTAGCGGTGTCTCGGTACGGCCCGCGGGCTGAGCGGGGCCATCGATCTGACCTTGCACAGCGCACTGCAGTAGACTGGGAGGTTTAGAGCGGTTCTGCAGGATTTCGGTTGATGCGTTCTGATCGGACCACACGGTGAGGTGACAATGACACCCCGATGGCCTTGGCTGCTTGGAAGAAATGCCGATGGTCATGTGACGGGAAGCCCAAAGACGGATCGGTTTTGAATGGAAGAAACCGGGCCCTGGTCCAATGTGAAGAGTTTGAGAACCGGATCCGGTTTGGTTCATTCTTCTGCGAAGATCGGGGAAAAGGTCCTTCTCCACCAGTTGTCAACTGGAGGGCTCCGGTGACAGATTCTTAGCCGAATCCGGGCCCCTTCAGCAAGAACATAGGGCTTTGGGCTCCGGACCCCGAAGGTGTTGGGCTCCGCGCCAGGTACCTGTTTTTGGGCCACCGCGGGGGGCTTTCGCTGAACTCCCCGCTTCGTTCTGGACCGAGGATCCCACGACGTTGGAGACGCTGGGCCCCGCGCCCTTCCCGGGCCTCTCCGATGAGAAATGGCTGGCGCACACCCGCTACGATGCTCCGCGACACCGCAGCTCGCCGGAGAAAAAAGGACGACTGAAGGGGGGGTGCTTTCCGGGCGACCGAAGGGCGCAGCGACGTGTTTCGCTTTTGCGACGTTGCGGATGTGACTTGGTGTGAGGTAGCCGTTTCTAAGGCTGCAGTTGAGATTCTCTACGTCCCACCTGGCTTGTGACCCACATGGGCCCAAATCATGTCCAAAGATGTCCAAAGTACTTGAAATTTGGCACTGGGACTACTTGGCAAGTTTTGAGGTGCAGGGCAATGCAGGGGGAACCTCCCCCTGAGATCGCTGAGGCTTGGTTTATGCCTCGAGCACCTACGTGAGTGATGCCGAGGACTTCCTGGGCACCAAGCTGGTGTTGCTGGGACTTCAGAAGAAGGAGTGCGAGCGAGAACGAGTTCACGCGAGTTCACACGGTGGATTCCAATGAAACGATATAATAGAGACTCAAAACATGTACCTGGTAGTCTCACACTGACACCCCGCTAAATAAATTGTTTGAAGCTCGTGTACATCCATTCATGGCGTATCATTGACATATTTCACCCTTTCTTTTCGTGCGAAAACGACCACATCACCGACTTACCTGTGGACGACGGAACCGTTCTTTTTTCTCCGACGCTCCGCTCCTTGCTGGTTCAGCGAAATGCAAGTCGATTCGAGGTTTCATGAGTACAACGAGGAGGGCCAGCTGGTGGGGGAGACTTGGCGGGTGAGACGAGTCCAACAGCTTAGACCAACCGTTTGGACGGTCTTTTTTCGGTGGTCCTTGACGTTCCATCGTGGAGCATCCTGGAGACAGAGACTTTGGGAGAGTCGTGGGCAAACAAATGGGCCGAGTGGGATCTGCAGCCACAAAGGACAAGATCCTACGTTGTTCTCGAAAGACTTGTGGACAAGCACCATCTCCAGCACCAGCCAGTTCGGGTGGTTGGATCATCTATATACCTAGAACCTCCAGTTGGAGGAACAGTGTCCAAAACATACTTTTGAGGCTTCAAGATCTGAAACGGCGTAACTTACGCTGAAACGACAAAACTTCAAGTTTGGCAACTGTGCCATTTCCACGAGATTGTTGCAGCCTTGGGTTCTCTAATTGCCACTGCTGGCGCCTTTGAGTGGCCTTTGAGCACATCTAGTGCGCCCTACAGCTCAACTCTTTTTTTCCAACACTTCAAGAAACCCGGCTCCATAGGTACACAGTGGATTCAAATGGTCTTGGACTTCCTCGCAAAAGGATGAGGCCGGATCAGAGCCAGTACTCTGGGAAAATGCCCTGTGCAACCTACATGTGGTTGAACATGGTTGAACATGTCTCTCTAACCGTAACCCCCACCAGCACATTTTTTCAGCTCAAGCGTGTGCACTTCGCTTTCAACCTTGGTTGGCTGCGGCTATGGCTGAGATTGGTGTGGTTGGCTCTCTTGGAGACACCTTGGAGCGGGATGAGTTCATCCGGGATTTGGGCCGTGCTTCCAAGAGCACCCTCACTATGTGGCCAAAGGGTGCTGACAACATCCCCTCGTGCAAATCCTTGGCAATCAACCTCCACCTAGTTGTCACGGTGGTTGAGTGGTGGGTGCTGCAACAACCACAGCCCAAGGCGATTCCAGTGGGCATCTTGAGATCTGAGGCCAGGTTTTCGAAATCACTCGTAAGGTTTTGCGATGGTGGTCGAACTTGGTTCGTGAGACTGACAAGAACTTTTTCAACATTTTGGGGCCAACCCTGCAGGTGAAGCGCTTCTGGAACAAGATGAGAATTCCTGTTCCCAACCATACTATCAACAACGACGTCAAAAGCATCAAGAAAGTTATCACCCTCGGAATCCGGAGATGGCTCGACTCAGACCATCCCCGGGCACCACGATTGCAGATAGTTTTCTTGTTTCACCGCACCCCTGTTCAAACTGATCTGGTCTGGCCAGGAAAATAAACCCAACTTGGAGGGCTTGTAACGAGGTATCCCGCGGTATCCGCTCGTTCGAAGTAAGGACATGGACCTCCAACCTTTTTGGGATGTCCTCGACAAGCACTGGGGTGGCTTCGGTGCTGATGCTTCAGGGGTATTCGAAGGGAGCGTGGATCAAGACAGTGATGAATCTCAACCCATTGAGAAGGAAATGCTTGCCATTGAAGATGGCAGTGTGTTTGAGGATGAACAGGGTGTTGGAGAGACAGTTCCAATTTCTCCAGACAACTCCGTTCCAGTTGGTGAAGACATTGCAGAAAAGCACGATCAACATCCTGTGTGGCACCCTGCTGATTCAGGCCCAAAGGGGGAACCATCCGAGCCAGCAGCGGTGGTTGAGAAGGCCGTGCTGGTCTCACCAAACCCAGGCTCAGGCTCCTGCGAGGCCACTTTGCAGAAGATCCAGCTCCGCAAGGAAATTCTCAGGCCGGGCCAAACATCAATGAATATTTTGTCGTTTAATCACCCCAACCTGCATACCAAAGCATACTTTCTCTCATCTTCTCTCCCCCAATCGAAAAAATGAAAAACTGCACAGGCGAGAGCTATTGAGGCGGGCAGCAACGAAGTCTGCAACAGGACCGGCAGAACGTTCCAATCTTCTCATCTTTGTTTCGCAAAGACTGTTGTTTTTAAATCTAGAATCTAAAGCTGTCAAGTGCACTTGATATCGGCCCAATCTCTTTTTGGAGGATGTGTGGGAGATGCGGCTGACACACTTCCCTACAATGTGGACGAAGCTCTGCCCTATGTTGATACCGTTTCTGCGACTCCTACGCCTGTGGACCCAAATCGTCCTAAGCGCTTTGCTGAGCTGGTGGACCGCTCCACTGACAAAACACTAGCTTTGGGTGAAGTTCCAAAGGACGACAAGGCCAAGCGTGGTCAAACCAAAACAATTGTTTATTTTTGTTTGTATGTTATGTTATGTGTTGGAAATCTGCCAAAAATAAGTCAAGTAACATGTTTTAAGTGAGTGAGAGCCTGCAGGCAGTGGTCGCAGAGGCATCTTACGAGGGCAAACGTGAGGTGCTGGCTGGGCAAGAAGGTTTGCAGATTTCAGTGGAGAACGATGAACCAAAGCAGGTGGCGGTGAAAGGTTCTCAAAGTGACACTCCAGCTGAGGTTGAGGCCCCGCCAGCTGCAAAAGTTGAGGAAAGCGAGGGCCCAGAGCAGGTTGTGATGGTAAAAGATTCTGAGAGTGAGACTTCGGCCAAGATTGAGGCCTCATCAGCTGAGAAGGTAGAAGGACATAAGGCTCCTGACTTCCTGGACCTCAACCCTCCCTTGGTTCGTCGTCAAGAGCAGTGGGGCACACTAGGTGACGATGATGAGAAGGATGAGAAGGCGCAGCCGAAGCGGAAGGCACGAAAGTCCAAGGAGGCTGAGAAGAGTGAAGAGGT